TAGTTATTGATTAATATTACTTCTATTTGTAATTATTTATGTGTTTAATATGATATTCTATTATAATGCTATTTACAACGATTATGTGTTAACATACAGTTTTTCATTATAATTAACTTATTCACGTTAATTACACAAATCATTTCGTTCAAGATGTGATCCTAAATTGTTAAGACGAGACGCGTCGTGGCTGTAAGGCAACGATTTTACAAGGGAGAGAGCGGGGGTTAACGGACAGGGTAGTTTAACGGCAGCATGTACGTATCGGTTTGACAAGTGACCATACGCCGATTCATCGTCGAGGCAATGCACAAGTAAATCAAATTAATTGCGTTTCACAACGACACAACACATATGTGGACGGAGACTCCGCGTATGACGGTGAGGGTAGAGAAAAAACTCTGTAGACGATAAAGTTTATTATTTGCATTCTAGCAGGCTTCCAACGCGCGCTTTTTTCCGTCAAGATCTATATCTTGTTGCTGATTTTTCGTTCTGTGATTATCACACTATATATGTTTACAAAATCAGTCTACCCTCCCTTCGTGAGACGCGGAGTTTCGTCGAACCAAACAAGCAATATTTACGCGATAGACGGTCGTCTCCAATTTGCATTACGATCACGCGGTATACTCGCGCACGCTGAGATATATACATACAAATACACACACACTAGACATAATTATATGTTCACTGGACATACTCGACGCATCATTTGACGACAGACAGACAGACAGATAGACGGGCAGACAAAAGAGTCGAAAGGATAGATAGCAGTGAGAGAAAAAATTGCAGACAGGATTAACGAGGAAAGGAGTTGAAGAACATGTGAATAATAAACTGCACCAAGGAGAGACCAAATTATATCGCTAATCAAATGTAATTATTTGCTTCTTATTTATTTTAATTGTTAATTATTATTGTATTTATTGGCGCGGAGGCTTAACATGTACACACGCGCTCTTTCCGGAAGACACATAAATGAAAACACACACACACACAAATGTGCTCGACTAAGCATTTTTGCAAATCACTTCAAATCGATGCCAAAGGGCAAAAATGATTGAACAGTTTTTAATTGTTATTTAATAAAATATTTTTAACGTTGTTTTTTCTTTGAATAAACGGCTTTAAAACTCGAAGAGATCGAATCTCTTCTACTTTCTTTCTGTTTTATGCGACGATGAGAAAAAATTGCGAGAACAAAACTTTCTTCTTAAAAAATCTTTGTTCTTCCGCCGAAAATTAAAGAATGTTTTAATTTTACAATACGATATTAAAACGTGCGTTATTATAAATTGTCGTCAAATTCACAACTACTGAAAATATATCAAAATTACAAGTGTTATCAAATCTTTTTACACGCATCATTTTAGAAGACTACATAATTAATTACAAATTTATATACAAATCTTGAACAATATCATTACAATGGACATTTTTCGGCATTGCGCATTGTCTTTCGCAGCAATACAAACCTACACAATTACTTACGAAATTGTTTCATCGTTGGTACATACATCTTTGACACGTAGCGGAAGGAAAGAAGTACAAAATTTACATAGCGGACACGAAGCGACTCGTAATACCTACTCTATCCTTCGACGAATGTATATGTCGCAAACGTTCCAGGATGCCTCACTTTGTACATCAAGTGATCAATATAAACGCAAAGAAATTACACTAATATGCAATCCCTTTTTATTACTCACGTTGCCAAAAGACTCCGTGCAAAATTGAAACTGCAAAGTAAATTCAGCGAAAAGAAAAAAAAGAAATTGCGCTGAGGTGAGACAAATTGTTTTTTACAAGCATGCTCTTTTCGTTCTTCTTTCGGATATCCTTTACTCATAATTTCAAAGCCGACACATCTAATGCGGTTTTTACTTTTTTTTTCAGTTTTCTCTGCGTAGTATCATCTAATCGGCTATATACGTTTATTATTAAACTACATTCGCATTTTGCCTCTTCCGCAGAGACGTGCGTTATATATATCGCGAAATATATATTTCTTTGAAAGGTAGAATCTCAGTACAGCTTTTGACTTTAGCAAGAAAGGCATAACGAAAGAAAAAAACAAACTAAACAAGTATGCAAAAAATATGCAAGATTACACGAGACGACGGCGACAAGGGAAATAAAACGTGGGAGAGACAATATATACATATATACATATACATATATATATATCTATATATTTGCGAGATATTTTGTGAAACAGGGCTTTTTTACCTATTTTATAATAATCTCAGCTTAAAACAAAAAACGATTTGAGAGAGAGAGAGAGAGAGAAAGAGAGAGAGAGAGAGAGAGAGAGAGAGAGAGAGAGAGAGAGAGAGAGAGAGAGAGAGAGGGAGCGAGAGAGAACATTTACTAAATTATAAATAAAATAAAATAATTAAAGTGAGATGAGAGACGAGAGATGTTGAAATGACGTATAGAGCAATTGACAAAACGCGATATGTAAATGCGTACATACATATAGCATAAAAAATGCTGTCGTTTTAACGGAGACGGTCCATTGTATACCCCACACTTTTGTTTATGTTTGCGTCTTAAACTTTCATTATTACTATTTTAATAATTATTTTACTTATTAAAAATTATTGTGTTAAGGATTATTATTATTATTATTATTATCATCGTCATCATTATTCTCACGATCATCATCATCATCATCATCCATCAGCAGCAGCAGCAGCAGCATTGTGTATATGATATAAATTGTAAAAAGAAGCATATTTACTATATATCATATTCATTTTACGGGAAATCCTCCGAATGAACAAATTGTTTAAACTGAAGTGAAGGAATAAAATATATTGACCAAATGTTAATACATTTTGATATCCTGTACTCAGTCCATCCTCTATTGAATCCTCTATCTTCATCTAGATCTACAAGTATCTTAAATGTATTTTACAACCATCTTTTTATATAGAATTATATATAGTAGATATTTAGGACAAGTAATATTTTTTAAAAAGTTTTGTGTGTGTGTGTGTGTGTGTGTGTGTGTGTGTGTGTGTGTGTGCGTGTGTGTGCGTGTGCGTGTGCGTGTGCGTGTGGGTGTGTGTGTGTGTGTGTGTAGTATATATATTGTAAAATATTTAATATATTTAAAAAACTGATACTTTATAAACGAGTAAAAAAATTATCTTTAGATTTGCACAGATTTGATTTACACTTTTACGACGTCAGTTAATTTTCTCCTTTCTTTTTAGTTTTATCATCATTTTGCAATTTGTTGTAACATCTGATCACGAGCTCCGACACGAATGTCAGGATTGAAACACCGAGTCCAAAGAGTAATATGTAAAAGGCGAACAACAAGTCACAAATATTCATTGCGCGATATTTATTTCTCTTCATCTCTTGCTCCTTCATGTTCCACCTGTTTTTATAGACAGCCGTGGTCTTCATTCTCCAATGTTCGATCAGTCCGCTCTGCGACATCGACATCAGCAATCTTCCGATTCTCTTAACTAACGGAAAATTCGGACGCGTCACGTAACCCATATACAGATTCGTTAACCGGTGTTTCGACACGTGCAAGTCGTTCTCGAAGGCAATTCTCACGAGCCGATTGCGATCTGCCACGCATGCCGTGTCCGGATACTCGATCACGTAACCGCTGCAATCCCACGCGTCCGTTTCTCTCACGCGCGATTGCAACGCGAGATCGAAGATCGCGTTTTTGTAGCCTGAGAACGTATAGATAGGATAACCCGCCTTCTTCAGCGCCTCGTTGTCGTCGATGTTGGGTTTTGACGTGGATGAAGTCAACAGAGACGACAGGCTCCCCTGAAACATCGATCCAGTGAGCAAGAAGAGAAGAAGCACAGTGACGAGGTAGATTCTCAGCGGTGTCCGTCGAGGAACGTGCAGAATGGACGCGTTGATCGTGATTCGCATTACTTCCAAACAGGCCGTACTTAACGTCAGGTCGCCCAGTGCAGCAAAAACAAAAATCGTAACGACGGAAACTGTTAGAATACCGGCAATCAATTGCCAGCCCATGAACTTCAGAATCTTCGTCTCGTTAGAATCGAAACCACTCGGTCTAACAGAAAGTTAATCGAAAAGAATAGTTTAGACAGTGAACAACTTGATGGAATATTTCGTAGAAAAATTTTTATTATATAATTTTTTTCTCGCAATTTATGTATATACATATACATATATATATATATATATATATATATATATATATGTATATGTGTGTGTGTGTTTAATAAAATAACTTTTTACACAAAAGTTCTATGTAAAATATTGTTCAAACAATTGAAAATTTTACCTGGTGAGCGTGCTGATTCCAGAATCTATATGAGGATACGTCATAGTATAATTCGGCTTATTAAAGATGTATTGCGCATTCATTAACATATCGTATTCGCTGTGCGACACGTTTGTCAGCAAAGGATGAATTTTGGCTCTTCTATCGAGTAACGTCACCGACATAGTAGCATTTATCTTGTCGAAAAGAGTATTTAGAATGATTCCGTCCAAGCCTCCATAATTGTTCATACTTGTTCTTTGAGGATTGAATGTGAGAGTCGGAGGAGATAAGCCACCCGTCAACTTAATCCGATAGCCACCTACTTTGATTTTCTTGTTAAAATTTAATTCTTCGCACGTTGTATCGCCTAGAAAGATACGCTCAATTATTACAAAGTGTACAAAGTAACAACAGCTTCTTTTTATATTTGAGTAAAAACTATACAAGTAAATAGGAACTTCTATGCTCTAATAATACAACATACATTTTTTAGTCAAAAATATAATCGCAATAGTTTTATATCACATTTCTTTTTATTATTGAAATTTATCGGCAGTTGCATCAATAATCGTATTAATTGAGAAAACAGAGGTAAATTCCGTAAAAATATTTTATGGAAAGTTTCACAGTCACAAGTTTTGGCATTCATACTTTGAAGTTCATGTTTCAGCATGCTCCAAGTTAGATTCTTCTCGTCGATGGAAGATTGAACCTTACGCCAGATTTTAGGCGCTGGATTTCCATAACGATTGTAAGTGTACACCGCATGTGTTTTGTTAGAATCAACACAGAAAAACGCACACGATTCAAGATCTAAATTCCAGGCAATCGATAGATAAGACTCCGGTTTGTCACAGACGTTGGTATCATTATTGCCGTAAATTATACCGTAAAACGCTAACGGATTCCACCATATCGATACCATTAATTCTTCAATCAAATACCTCAAATTCAACGGAGACGAGACAAACAAGATGAACACGTGCAATTTGTCATATCGAGATAAATTATTGTAGTAAGTAACCCGTGAATTAAATAGTTTGTTAATATCCGAAATAATGGTTTTTAGTCTAATTGTTGGAATATTTTTCATAAATTTGGAGGACCAGTATTTAAAAGTTCCAGAAGACCAGCATAGACCAACGTAATTCATTTCGTCAGCCCGACAGCTACTCAATATGTTACTCTATTCTCAAAAACAGAAAAATATAAAATGTTAAGTAAATATACAAATCCGAGAGAATTACATCTTATAACTTACTCTTGTTAAAAATCACGCGATACATATACGTATATAATACTTATGTATTAATGTGTTATTTATCATCTGTATACCACATTATTAAAAATACAAAAACACATCTTACTAGTTTTTCTAACATAACATCAATTTCAGTAATATTCACAGCTGCGTATGTCACAGATTGACACGAATATCTCACAACAATCAACAACAGAATTAAACTTTTCATTTTTGTACCAGTTTTATTAAATTTCTTACAGACTTTCTTTCGACACGCCAGATATCGACGCGAGTAAACTCAAAATTGCTCGAGAACAACTAGTCTGTCAATGTACAAGTAAAAACACATTTATACACTTTTCTGTAACCGACATTTTTCTATCTCTCAATAATCTGTCTATATGTCTCGTTATTACGTGACAACATTACTAGAACAACATATATTACTTATTTATTACGTACATTTTCTACATCTCACGAGATATATAATATATTGCAATATCGCGTTACTGTTTTTCCTGGAAAATGATCGAGCTAAAAGTAAAACATAGGATAGGAAAAAGTCTGATCGTTCTCAGTAGTTAGTATATTTTGTCAATATATTTGTTAGTATTATTCTCTCGATTAGGTATATGTCTTTTATGTTATTGTTTTTCGCGGAAAAGAATCGATCGAATGAAAGTAACTGGAAAGACCGAGAGAAGTAAACATTTACTTAACATTCACAAACTCAAACGCACAAGTCTCGAGGTAAAATATTCACGTAAAAGTTAACTTGATATCTTTAAGAGAAAATAATTTTACGACTACTTATATATTTGTACATAGTTTTTGAAACGTAAAAATTTCTAGATGTAGTAAGTATAATTTTCACAGGTTGTTTAAACTTAATATCGAAGTGTGTTCCGTCAAATCCGACGTGACAACATTTTCTTATCTTTTCTTTTTTATATTGTAAGTAAAGACACTAGCAGGAGCAGTTATTCCAGTAAGTATACACATACTACACGAGAAGAAAATATTCAAGGAATTGCTTGATATAATAACAGTAAACAAATATTATTTTATAATATTATTTTATTAAAGAAGAAATAATATGTGAATCAGTATAAAAGATGCGACATATGATCAATATGTAACATATCAAAATTATAATTTTAACATAGCAGGGCCAATTCGAGGCAATAATCAGATCTTCGTGTCAATAAATTTCTTTATTTGAAAAAACTTGAGAAGTAAAGGAGGAGGATGTTATTCGGAATAGTAATGTTGTTAAGGATGTAGCTCATTGTCAGTCTATCGGCGGTCGTCGCGCTAGTTGTTTGTTCGCGTCTCGTTAGTACCGAGACTTTCGTATCGTGTGTTGTTGGCGACGTTGCGCGCCTGATGTGTGTGGACCGAGTTCTTCCTATACTTACGAGCCTTCTTGTAAGTGTCAAATCTTGTAATTTGAGGTTGTCTACCCATTGCGTAAGATTGTTTAATATAATCTATAATTATTATATGTAGTACAACGAAGAAGACCTAAATTAGGATCGAAACGTTTATCACCTTTTCTAAAATAAAGAATTTTATTGACATGAAGATCTGATTATCGCTTCGAATTGGCCACTTCCCTACTATTATAAGTTTAAGAGGAAGAATACAGAAGTTTATAATTTTAACACGAGTGCACACAATACATTTGGATGTATGTAAAAAGAAATAAATATAATCTTTGGATGAGTAAAACATTGCGTTGTCTGCACACAAAACATACCAACAATCGTAAAGTCCCTTGCACAATGGAAGAAATAGCGATAGCGATAGAAATAACACCAGTTCTAAAGAGTTTATATTTACAAATAACGGCAGGAACAGCAGAATCTAACATATAAAAATACACATGTATCAATGCAGATCAGAAAACGGAATAAGCAATAGCGATAAAATTTCCGAAAAGTTGGAATTCTGTATCTATCGCTTATCGCTATCAGTATTCCCTCGGATTGTACAAGGAGCTTAATACTATCGTTTGTCTCTTTTTTTTTTTTTTTTTTTCATCATTTATCAAGGTAAAATTTCACGGTGTCACTTGTCGCTGAGATGAGTGGTCACGTGATCGAGTTTTGTCCACTTTCTCGTCACTAGCGATCAGAGATGCCAGTTTTAAGACTTTTGCAGCATGCAGCAGCAAGTGGAGGGGATACGCACACAGGCGAACAGCCGTGTCCGTGTCACAGTATAGGTAAGAACAGTAGGTTCACTCTCCGAAAACTTATACTAAAAGTTGTCTCTCGCGCATGACCGAATTGCACAACCAACAATATGGCGACTATTTAATATATGTAGTAGATCCATAACCTGTTGATCGTAAATAAAAAACAAGACGTATACCGCGAAACTTATATATATTGATTAAAATAGAATAATACACTATGAGTGAAAGAGGTGGATATAGATGTTGTTTTAAAGACTGTCCAAGTGCAACAAACGCAAAACGCGGAAAGAAAGAAACTTTGTTTCGCTTTCCAAAAGATACAGAAAGGTTTTTTTTTTTTTTTAGTTTATATTATATTTTATATTATATTAGTTTATATTATATTTGTTGTTCAGTTTATATTATATTTGTTGTTCAGTATCGGCTTTTAACACCAACTGCAACATGTTCAAATATTAGCTCAATGTTACAATTAATCTTGCATTTACAGTGGAACTTTATTTATTTTTTGTAAATCATTTTATAATTAATTGTTAGACAATCAATGAAATAATAGTTTTGCATGTTTTATGAACATAAATAAACCTAATTGTTATTATATAACGAGAATTTGGAAAACAAATGTATAAGAAATATTATTGTTTGAAGGTCAAAATTATGGGTATCAGCCTGTAATAGAAAAGAATTATTTACAAAAACAGCCTTACAGCTTTATAATAATTACAGAGTATGCAAACGTCATTTCCAAAATAATATGTTTTTAAATTTTGAGAAAACACGATTGCAACCGCATGCTATTCCAGATTATATTCTACAAAATAATGGTAAGTTATTTATAAATAATTCAATAGCATTCGAATAAGCATTATGCCAGGTTAAAAGAGTTTTGAATCATCTCCCAACAAAAAAACAGTGTTTACACATTAAGTTATAATCTTACAGATGAAACAACAAGTAGCTCTACTACAACTCTCTGCATAAATACTTCAAATAATAGTAACAATATAGAAGAAGAAAATATACAAAAAGAGAATATACAAGAAGAAAATGTACTAAATATGACGTTCAATGAAAAAAGCATGGATATAGATGAAACAACAACACAAGCAATTAGAAATCAGGAATCAGGAACACAAACAGCCTTGTCACTATCTTCTACATCTCCAAGAAAAGTACACCTGTATCAACAGATAAGAGGATATAAAAGACAAATAGCTAATTTAGAATTACAATTAACGCAAGTAAAAAAAGCAAAGTCAGAAGATATGAGTACATTAGATAAGTTATTAGATAAATATTTTCCAAAGCAAACATCTGAATTTTTAAAAATACAAGCACGTCTTTTTAAAAAGGATGCAAAAGGTAGAAGGTACGATAGCGATTCCTTTAAACAGCATTGTTTATCTATATATTTTGCAAGTCCCAAAGCATATATAAATATAGCGACTAAATCTAAATTATTTTGTTTACCTAGTTATGCAACTCTACAAAGATTTACGCGAAATTGTTATATAAATCCAGGGNTACAAGACAACGTATTTCAAATGTTAAAAATTAAAATTAACGATTTACCAGACATTAATAAATATTGCATACTGTGTATAGACGAAATGTCTTTGAAAGCACATTTATTTTACAACATAACAACAGATAAAGTCATAGGTTTTGAAGACATAGGATATTTACAGAGTTGTTCACAGTTACTTGCACATAATGTTGCAGTTATTATGGTGAAAGGCATCTGTCAATCATGGAAACAACCATTGAGTTATTTCTTTTTAAACTCTACAATGAAAGCATCTGATTTACTGATAATTATACAAGAAACAGTAAGGAAGTTAAAAAATATTGGTTTGAAAGTAGTTTGTCTTATTACAGATATGGGCTCTAATTTTTATCAGTTAACTAAATTACTGAAGATTAATGATAGAAAATCATATTTTACAATAGACGAAGAAAAAATATACTACATTTTTGATCCACCACATTTGTTAAAAGCAACTAGGAATAACTTATATCAACACAATTATGTATATGAGAATGATAAAATTGCTTCATGGGAACATATAGAACACTTGTATACAATAGATAAAAAAGCACAATTTAGAGCAGCTCCTAGATTGACAGATAGCCATATTAACCCAAATAATTTTGAAAAAATGAAAGTCAAATATGCAACACAAGTATTAAGTCACTCTGTTTCGGCTGCTATAAACACATATGTTAGTTTAGGTTTTTTATCTGCGGCGGCTATTTTTACAGCAGATTTTGTTGCAAAGTTTGACAAGTTATTCGATATTTTAAATTCTTCGAAACTTTACAGCAGCAATCCTAATAAACAAGCATACACAAATACAAGCGAGCAAGTTACTTACCTCTATGAAACAAAACAGTTTTTGCAACGTCTCAAAGTAATTACAAAAAATGGAAAGAATATAACAAATTCTGTTAAATCAATAAAATGTTGGATTGTTACAATTAATTCGATATTA